CTCCTGCACCGCCTGCCGCAGTCTGTCCAGCTTCCCGCCGCGGCGAGCGCGGGCGGCCACCGGCCGCTTCATCTTCCCTTCAGCCACGCCGCGCCTGGGCGCCGCCATCTTGGGGAAGGGCGGACCTTCCTCTTCCGCCGCGCCGCCGCCATTTCGGGCAGCAGCGCCCCCTGCTGAATGTCGTCGGCGGGGCGGCCCCAGCTCTGACAGGATGGTCCTACGCTAAATCCGTAGACATCCCCTCTTTTTTCTTTTTTTAAATATATTTAAGAAAATGTAAGGCTTGGCCTTCTTACAGAAGGGACTGGAACAATTTGTCTGTCATAGCCCTGGCTGCTGTCTCAAGGCCCTAACGCCCACTGGGTGCGAGGCTCTCACTAACACCCCTTGAGACCGCAGGAGGCGAGGGACATCAGCACTCCTGGCCTCTCCTCCACCTGCCCAGTCCCCCATTTTAAGCCCCTTCCAACCCTGCCAAGCTCAGGTGTCTTTTCCTGAGCATAGCAGAGACAACATCCACGTCCACGGCCTTTCTCTGGTGCTCACTTCTCTCGGGGTGTTTCCATCCACAGTGGAACGCAGGACAAGGTGATGCAGCTGCTGGGACCAGTGGCCCTTGCCACAGGGACAGGATCCTCCCCTGGCATGCACAGCAGGTGACAACTCGTCTGTCGTTTATGTGATCAGAGGGAATTAAATGTCCCACGGCAGTTTGCTGCTGTCAGCAGGAAAACCAATTGGTTGGTCTTATTTTTAGTCTCTTTGCTGTACTCCAGGCTTATGCAACCTGCTGGGTGTGTGTGTGTCTGGCCCTGTGTCTGCGTCCTCTCCTCCCACCAACTTCAAAATCTAGTGCCAGTTTCAGTCATGTCTGGCAGATGCCTGGAGTTCCCCCAAAACACTGAATTTTCATCAAAATAGGTGGATAGGTAGAGGAAGGAATTTCTCAGCTGAACAAAGTGCCACAAGATGAGCATAGACCTTAGCAGACACCAGAAAACACAAATGAAACCCAGTGCACATGACCCAGTTTCAGAAAAAGGGTCGGTCTCGAATCTCCTGTGAGGACCAAGTCCATAGGAAGTCAGGCTTCATTATTTTGTTCTTTCGCATTGCGCTCCTGACCTCTCTTGAACAATGAAGTACAGCATAGGACTTATATTTACCTGAAAATTTAATATGGCTTTATTATCCAGAAGATTTTTTTTTCTATGCACGTTTCCATATTCTCTTATTACATCATATGTCCTAGATGACCCATGTTTCAGAAATCCAGCTTTCTCAAGGCTGATGCATAATGAATCTTTCACCCTCAGTGACAAAATACGTTGCATTGATTTGTCAAGGCATTCCTTTTGCTACATTTTAAACTATATATTATGCTATAATTTATTGCTGGGCTGCTCTTTATTCATGCACAGACAGCTCACATGCATTTTGCATTCTGTTTGTAGATTTATTGATAACAGTAATCCAGCAGCATGCCAGAATGCTAGATAAATACAGCTGAATATAATTTGAGAAAATATTAGATGCTTTTAAAACTTGAAGATTTGCATCTTCCTTCTGTCTCATCGTGTAATTTGTCATTCAGGGCAACAGAGCTTTCCAGTCTCACATTTCTTCAAAGAGAGAAAATGTCAATATTTGCCTTCTTCAATACTTCATGTCACAAAGCAAAATGGGGAGCGCATGTATTTTGCTGAACTCTATAATCCCAAATTTGGGTGAAAACCGGTATGCTACTTTTGCAAAAAATACACGAATAGAATTATTATCATGTATCTGTGAAGTAAAAATACTTTGTAAGAATTAAAGCAATATTTCAGTCAAAATATAATCGTCAAGAAAATGTAATATTGAAATAAATACGAATCTGCTTAATAGACTAATTCAGCATTCAAATCTAGTGATGCCATAGCCAAATAAATACATTACAACAAATATTTCAGATAGTATCCTAGAATATTGTGGTTTATTATTTTACATGTACCAATTTGGCTTCAAGTACCTGGTAAATACAGTCTTCTTAAAATCTGAATAATTAGAAACCCCTGTCAACTACTCTTCCAACTTTCCTGTGTTGTCTAAATAGCAGAAAAGGGGAGAAATCCAGTTTCCACTTTACAAATTTCACATTTAGATCTCTGCGTCATATGGGCGTCACTTACCAAATAGGAATTCTGAATTGAGGGAACATTTTGTAATTGTTCTTTGTTTTGACAGTGGTCCTGCAGCAGAGAACAAGCCGCAAGGGCACGTTTCATGTTTAGAATGAAATTGAACATACTGGCATGATTCACTGGAAATGAAAGTTCATATAGAATTGTTGCTTCAGTAAATTTTTGCTTCCTGCTGAGATAATCTTTGTTAACAGATTTCCTTCCTAATAAATTATGTTCATGGATTACTTCCCCCCCCCCCCCCCCCCCCCCCCACAAACAGCACCCAAAAACACTCAATCC